AAGATGTTAGTATTAGACATATGTTGAATTTTATTTATGTGGTACTGAAAAGAAATGGATAATGAAGGTATTATGTTGTAAATTTTAAGACTTTGTAAGCAACATACACTGCAACATTATGTTAAATTGTGCAACATAGCACACTGGCCAAAACATAGGACATAACACACTGGCAAAAAGTATACCTAGATCACAAGCATTCCACACTGCCAAAAATCTTTATATAGAAGACAAATTCACTGCCAGAAAGTGTTTGTAGAACATGATCAATCCATACTACCCAAATATTTACAGCCACCATATTGAGTAACATATTTCATAACAATCTCTTTCATGGTAAAACCCTATTGTCATAAAATCAACCACAAGCTGTTTGCACAATATGAAAGTCAAATAATAATTATTCATAACATTGGTAGTTATATATGTAAGTCTCATTGTCACCACTTGTTTATAGAATGTTTTATGTAGTTTTTTTAATACTCCCTCCGTCCACAAATAAACTTTACGTTCACTATTCAAAGGGTCAAACTTTATTCACTTTTTAGTTTTCAATTCTACACCATTTTTCATATAAAATGATTTGAAAATAACTTTAGTCAAACATCGTAACGCGCAATGTAAAGTTATTTGTGGACGGAGGGAGTATATAATTCCTTTTTTAATTATACACTAACTTTTACTTATATTGATTTGAAAATAACTTCAATGAAACATCGTAAATCGAATAAGAGCCCTATTTTGGGATGAAGGAAGTATTTATAATTGACATATTTTTATGATATAATTTTGATATATCGTCTTTTTATTGTATATATTTATTCAAAACTACATTTAATTGATTGAAGAAAGAATTTGATAAAAAAAAAGAGTACTATGCCACTATACACAAAGTATACATTATGTGAGTCCGAATTTGATATAGGAGTTGAAAGAGGAATTGAAACAATTGATAGTCGGATAGATAAAAGGGATTGACAACATAAAGGGTATGATTGGAAGAGATTGACAACATAAATAGCTAATTTGGTAAAAAAACAATAAGCAGTGCTAAATGCGTAGTATTAGATGAGTTAGAGTGCAGGGTGAATTCTTTAAAATATACTCTTTACTCCGTAATTTACAAGTATTTTAAAACCCGCTTATCTATTCGGGTACAATGCACTTCCCGTTTGGAACAATGCCTGATCCATAATTTTGCCACCCCTAATGATTGGAGATATCAAATCCGGTTATGATTCTTCATTTTGTATAGAATCGTTGCAGATCACGAGAATGAGTTCTTCACATTCAACAGAAAACTGCCTTGGATGGGCTGCAAGAGACCCTTCCGGAGTTCTCTCTCCTTTCAATTTCAGCCGCAGGTGAATATTCAATTCATTCTGTTAGTTTAGTTCAAGCAAAGATCTCATGAACTTATCATGTTCTCTGGAAATAGTTTATCCGCCACGATTCTAACTCCACAGATAAATGTCATTAGGGTTGTTGGGAGCGATGACGTTTCACTAGATATTTCTTATTGCGGCGTCTGTTATGCTGATGTTATATGGTCAAGGAGCATCCATGGGGCCTCAAAGTATCCTCTAGTGCCTGGGTATCATGCCTTGGATTGCCAATTTGGTCATAATTCATTTCCCTGCTCTCAATAAAATTTGATTCATTCAATTTTTTTTTTTGCATTACCAGACATGAGATTGTGGGAATTGTGAAGGAGGTCGGGTCCAATGTCGGGCGCTTTAAAGTCGGTGACCCTGTGGGAGTTGGGACATATATTAACTCTTGCCGCGAATGTGAGTATTGTGAGGAGGGGTTAGAAGTTCAGTGTTCAAAGGGAAGTGTTTTTACATTTGATGACATAGATGCTGATGGTACAGTCACTAAGGGAGGATACTCTAGTTACATTGTTGTTCATGAAAGGTTAATAAACAATTATGACAATCTTTTTTTTGGCAGTACAATTTCCGATTTCGTATGGTGCTGGATTATGGGCTGTATTTTGTACAGGTATTGCTACAAAATCCCAGAGAACTACCCTCTTGCCCTGGCAGCGCCTTTGTTGTGTGCTGGGATTACTGTGTACACTCCGATGATACGGCATAACATGAATCAACCTGGAAAGTCTTTAGGCGTGATTGGACTAGGTGGTCTTGGTCACTTGGCTGTGAAGATTGGCAAAGCTTTTGGGCTTCAAGTGACAGTTTTCAGCACCAGTGTATCAAAGAAGGTGGAAGCTTTGTGTCTTCTTGGAGCAGACAACTTTGTGATCTCGTCTGATGAACAACAGATGACGGTGAGAAGGAGATGAGACACACCCATGGTTTTGTTTGATTCTTAATGGTGTTGAAAATGTTTATGACAAATTATTTCACATGCTATAGGCACTGTGTAAATCATTTGACTTCCTGATTAACACTGCCTCTGGAGATATCCCGTTTGATCTGTACTTGTCGCTGTTGAAGACTGCTGGTGTTCTTGCTTTGGTGGGGTTCCCGAGCACGGTGAAATTCAGTCCTGGAAGCCTAAATATGGGTAAATAGCCTTATACTCCATATGAAACCTTCTAACGATTTTTCTCATTGTACATATATCTTATAATGATGACGCGACTGCATATTGCACAGGCATGAAATGCATTTCCGGGAGCATAACTGGTGGAACGAAGCTCACACAAGAGTTGCTGGAGTTCTGTGCTGCCCACAAGATATACCCTGAAATTGAAACAATTCCAATTCAGTACGTGAACGATGCGTTTGAGAGATTAGTGAAGAAGGATGTCAAGTACCGTTTCGTAATTGATGTTGGGAGCTCCCTCAAATAGGATGGAATCTGCACTTGATAAGTAGTAAATGGGACATCCCCTTCTTTTACTAGTCCACATATCATAAATAAGCTTGAAAGCATTGTATTAGGAGCTGTTTGCTTTGCTATTTTTTGTGTAATACAAGGTCTAAGATCAGAATGAACTAAAGATGTAAAGGATGATTTGTATTCATCCACCATTCTTATTGGATTTTGCAAAGAGTTCAATATTGTGTCTTACATTGGGTAAGGCACAACTGCACTTGAAGCGTTGTGTCCTGGATATAAAGTTTAGTTACCATTAAAGAGTCACATAAATTATTAAAATCTAAAATTAATTAATTAATAATCTTTTTTGTGATTTTTAATTTTCATTAACTATGTTTCTTAGAATGTGTTCTAGTCAAGTTTTAAAATTTTGACAAAAATAATTGTACACCCTATTTTCTTTCATTAAGCAATACATAACTTTTAAATGTGCATGTACTAATAATTTTTATAATGTGCATGCACTAATAATTTTTATAATGTGCATGTTATAAGCGTGTGCAATATACTAAATGTTCATACAGCAATGCAATTTAATACACGAGGAAATAATTGTGTAAAATTACTGTTGTTTATTTCTTGATTTGACTTTTATAAAATAAAAAGATTAAAAAGCTAAAAAGGTTATTTTAATATTCTTGAGACATACAAAAAACAAAGTACTGAAATTTTTTTAGGGGATTGAATCGGTGCCTTTTATTATGCCCATTTTTCTTTTTCCCTCATTACTTTAGAATAATAAAGTTTTTATTATAAGAAAGTAGGAAATTTTTAGACATAATAATAACTCAATTTGCACCATTTTTTATGGCATCATTTTTTTTGTCCGAATAAATTCGCATCATCTTTTATGCCCTTTTTCTTTATTTCCTCATTTTCAAATAAGTAAATTTTTGTAATTAAAAAACGAAATTTTTGGAAATAAATACAACTCAAACTCTTGTAAGCACTGACCCCTAACTAAAGTATTTCTTTCTGATTTATCGTTCCATCTTCCTTCACTAAAAAAATAATTTAAGTTGTTTTGATTTATTACTCAGAACTCTATTGTTTTGATGTTAGAATTCTTACAAGTGATATATATATATATATATATATATATATATATATATATATATATATATAATGTTAAATTAGTAACTTCTAATGCAAACTTTACATTGTTAGTCTCGGGTCATGTTTATAATTATTTAGATATATAAAATGTGATGTAAGATTATTTTGTTTGGTCGAGACATCGTTACTTTATTTATGTCCAATTTTGCTTTCAACTAAGGTTACTGAAAATTATTGCCCCATTTCTCTTCTTATTTTTTTTTTACATGATTATAGAAATACAACAGAAGAAATGAAAAAATTATATGGTTGATATTAATTTTATAATGTATAGAAAGACTGTGAGTCACAAAAATTATAACTATGATTTTGGATAAAATTAAATGACATAAAAAACAGATTAAAATTTTTAAAAGTAGAGCATAAATTTTTTAAATAAACTATGAAATTTATAATAAAAAACTCTCCTGATGAGAGTAAAAAAGTATGAAAATACCAAAATAAAAATCTTAAATCTTTTAAGACCGAAATAAGAGTACAATAGCACTTTGATGTAAGAGTACACGTTGGGAGTGTGATGAAAAATGATGACGCTGTAATATGGTTATGTGTTTAGTCAACCATCGGTGATCTGTGGCAGCACTCTGGTAACTGTGACGAATGACAGTGTGGGAGTAGGAGGTTTAGTGTGACAATGTGCTGAATGTGGCAGTGTAACAATGATAGTATGAACTTCTATTCTCATCTTATAAGACTTAGAACTCTTATTTTGGTGTTTTCATAGTTTTTACTCTTATCTACAGAGTTCCCCCATTTATAGAATTAAATAATTATTCTGACAGTTTATATTTTTTAAACTCTTTCAATATTTTTTCAACTCTTTCCAGTTTTTCCTAGATCCTTTTAGTTTTTCCAACTCCTTCTTGTTTTTCTAACTCCTTCTAGTTTCTTCCGACCCCTTCGAGTTTCTTTCGAAAGAAATCTCCCTGGATAAAAGTAAAAATGTATTAAAATAGAGTCTTAAGTCTTTTAAGAACAAAATAGAAGTATAATGGCAGTCTGGTGTAAGAATACGCAATGTGATGAAAAAGTGACGACAGTGTAACATATCGGTGTGATCAGTCAATCCTCGGCGATTCGCGGCAGCACTGTGGTGGATGGAGGTGATGGATGACAGTGTGACAGTGATAGTATGACAGTTACAATGTGACAATGTGGTAAGTGTGGTAGTGTAACAATGACAATGTGAACTTCTATTTTTATATTAAAAGACTTATGACTCCTATTTTGGTATTTTCATAATTTTTTACTCCTAACTACGGAGTTCCCCCTTCCAATTTTTCCAACTTGTTCTAATTTCTTCCAACTCGTTCCAGTTTCTTCCAACTTCTTCTAGTTGTTTCCAACTCCTCTAGCTTCTTCCAACATTTTTGAGTTTCTTCCAACTTCTTCTATTTTTTTCCAACATCAAACTCTGTTTTTCTAACCAAAAATAACATAGCCTAAACAAAAAGTTTAGTGGCAAGATAAAAAGAAAAAAGGAGTGACATTTTTTGACAAAAATAAATTAGTTTTAATCATTGCACTTTTCTTAGAGCTTGTTCTATTCTTCTGATCTGAATGATTTTGATCAAATTGGAGTATGTTCTTATCTGATCGAAATGCACTTATATTTAAAACTATTTTTGATCCGATGTGCATTTATTCCAACAATAATAAATAATTTATAATGAGAATAAGTTGAAGACAAAAGGCTCTTAGTTGACCCTTTATATTTCTATTTTATCTTCAACCGATCAAGGCCTCCTCTCACATATCAGTGAACCACTATGCCTCTCCACCTTGAATCGATGGCCGTTGCCGATTTCCCTTTCATTCTGCACTCCTCTTCTAGGCCTCGCCAGATCTACGTTAGTGCCGTCGCCTCTCCATGTTAAAGTGCCACACACCACTGCACCGACTCCTTTTTTCTACCTCTCCTCTTCTCTTTGTCGTTGGACTTACACATTCGCCCTCAATGCGAAGAAATGTAGGGTTCTACCTTCAGTTGAGACACACGAACTATGAAGAGTGTTCTAGAGAAAATTATGCTAGTAATATTTCTCTAGATATTTCTAAAATATAAAATATTTGGTGTAATGTATTTAAGAAAACAAAACAAATTTTGTCTCTTAAAACATATAGAGGGCCGAAAATCTAGTGATAGTCAAAGGGTGGGATGATCTCCTATTTATAAGGAGCATAATCCTCATTTCTATTCCTAATGGGAATGCTCCTTTTAATGTTTAGGAAATAAATCAAATCCTATTCCTATTTTACTTATGTAATTTCAAAATATCCACTTTAAGGAACCTTTCAATTTATTTTGTCAACTTTAATTGTCATATAATTAACACAAAATAATATAACCTTTATTATATATATGTGTGTGTGTGTGTGTATGTATGTATGTATATATATAATAATTGTTATATTTTGTTTCTTAAATAATATTTGACAAACTTAATTATCATATAATTAAAATGTCCATATATATATATACACACACACACACACTCTTGCACCTCAGTAATAATAATAAAATAATAAACAATTTATTATCTATACATATATCCGAATATATATACATTATTATTAATTATATTTCACATACTTAATTATCTTATAATCAAAATGTCCAAATATAAATATTTATTTGTATATATGTTTGTGTATCTAATGATATTGTCACACAATGTAATATACACAACATATATAAAATGCAACTTTACTTGAATCAAATATTCTACACTTTTCATATGCTCTATGTGTGTGACCCTATTCTAGCTCTCTATAAAATTGGCTATAGTCTCGATTAAATAGTACAAGTGATAAGCGGTATCTAGCAACACATTATCACTCCCAAATTATAGATATAAAGCTCTTGAAACAATTCCTTCAACGACACATCTTATTTGTATAACCCTTATTCCTTTATCACTAATATCTTGATTTAATAAAAGGTATGAGATGTGTCACCTTGTTAGAGTTAAATAGATGGTTTACTGATTCTTTGATTGACTTGTGAGATTCAAATAACATATTTATTTGGGCATGACCATGCACTTCCCAAGTCACATCAATCACTGGGCCCTTAGATAATATACATCATTAAAGAAGAGATAAATTCTATCTTCGTCATTCACATCCCTACTTAAGTTTCATTGCATACCCAAAACATAATTGTACATCCACCAATATTTCAGGTGGCATAAATCATGTTTCAAAGTATGCAACTTAGCTTATCAGAGATCGTAATGACTTCAAGTTAAAGGATAGTTATACTAATGGTCGTATGAGATTAATATTAATAGTTTAACTTAAACCCATATATTATTCTCATAACGGGTCAATCTCTAAGCATATCCAATATGTTTGCTTACGTATAGATTTAGATAAAACTTTATCTATAGCCAATGAGACGCAGCTATCTCACCTCATACGTATTAGTCTTGATATGATGTCCGTATTGTCATAATATTTGACTAAGGATATTTTAGACGAAGCCTCTATCTTTGCAACGACCTCATAATCAAAACGTCGTAGTTCTCATCTATGTTATTAGAGCGTCTACTCTATGGACTAAAACTATGTTTAAATCACACGAGACGACTTAAACAATCTTTAGAACCTATTGTTGTTGATATAATATAGATATGGAATCATAAGTTGGCCTCTAATGCTCACTTATATTCAAGAATCTCCCATTATCACTAAGGCCAATTATGGTTTCCATGTATGCCTCATGTACGAACTGTGACCCTCGTGTATAGGTTTTCCCAATACCTAGGTCAATGGGTTAAGAGATTATTCATCCTTTTCCTATCTTGCAAATTTTTGATACTTTCACCTTTTATGACTTTTTGTATGTTGTTGTGAGATCTAATGATGTTTTGGTTTCTTGGTGAGACTGTAGCTTCTTTACCTCCTGTAGCAACCATATCGTTGTCAGTACAACGATATATGGATTTTTAATGCTGGGAGCAACGCTATCCTTTTGTGAGCAGCTACCAAAACCAAAATATCTTCCTTTTTCTACTTCTAAAGCTGCAAATTTGTTTTATAGTTATGCGTATGACACCATGTCAAGACTTTATAATGTTTGTTCTGCTAATTTCAACCTACCTTATGATTGTTCTGAACAAGCTATTTTGCGTGTA